GTTTCCAAAGAAGAATAGAGAGCTCTACATTTCGTACAAAAAGGTAGAACGGTTTAAGCTAGATCATTGAAAGCCTGGAAGAACTGGATATTTTAATCAACTTACATCATCCACATTATCATCCGTTGCTAACTTATGAATTTTACTAGGTTTTCTATTTGTACACACAATCGGTAATTGTTATTATTCATATTACGCAATCTTTTTATTACATCATCATGTTTATTCATTGTTCATTTGCCCTCACGGAAATAATACTTTGTGTTATACTTGTGACCGCCAATTATGGAGCAGTGAATTATCGATCGGAAACCTGGAGAACTACGAAAGCAATCTATCCAGAAAATACAGGTGTTTATTAACAGTTGTCTACGCAAAATACTTCAGATCCGTTGGCCGGACACTATTAGCAACAACATACTGTGGAAGAGAACAAACCAGATCCCAGAGGAGGAAGAAATCACGAAGAAGCGCTGGAAGTGGATAGGACACACATTGAGGAAAGCACCCAACTGCGTCACAAGACAAGCCCTCACATGGAATCCTCAAGGCCAAAGGAGGAGAGGAAGACCAAAGAACACATTACGCCGGAAAATGGAAATAGACATGAGAAAAATGAACAAGAATTGGATGGAACTAGAAGAGAAGCCCCAAGACAGAGTGGGTTGGAGAATGCTGGTCGGCGGCCTATGCTCCATTAGGAGTAACAGGCGTAAAAAGAAGAAGAATTATCGATCGGACTAGTGACGTATACGCATAAAACACGTACGAGCAGTCTAGAGTATTTATTGGTACTGCTTCCTGCTTAGCTCACCCAGTTAAGTCCAGAACACCAATCTCAGTCTCTGCAATATGAATCATTTATTTCAAACATACTCGGTTTATTTACCAACCAGACAGAGTATATCGTACTAATAAAATATGAAACAACATTTATACAAGATTTGGCCAAGTGTAGCTATGAATGTAGGAGGTAGTAATTAATGGACAGGGCATAATTCAAGAATAGTAAATCGTATGATAATAGTTCGTAGTTTAAAATAAAGCTCATAATAAGAGGAAAAGGAATGTGAACAGTTTAGTTATTTAACAATTATACGATAAAAATATACGCATAGTATTGATCCATAAATGGATCGCGAAAGTTATCATTCATTATGCTTATCGGGACATAACACTTTAACAAAAAATTTCATACAGATATACGATTGTACAGCTTGATAATAAATTCGTTAAAAAGAGATCTCTCCGCGTTTTTAGTATAATTATTTTATCCTTAATAACTTTCTAACTAATGCTCAATTTACTTTAGACTATCAAGTTCAACCTTGGTATCGACAACTAGAGGATTTTATGTACTTATTCTGAAAGTGATAATAAAAATTAACATGTAGAGTCAACAAAATTAAGTGTGGAGACGAATTTCCATCGATTCTAGTATGAGGTATGTTGCAAATTTACGAAAGTTAGAGCGTTGACACTGATTTTCAATCATGTGTAGTAAAAACATCAAATGGTCCCCGTGATTGCCCAGGACAGAGTTGGATGGAGAATGCTGATGAGCGACCTATGCTGCTTCACGAAAGGCAACATGAGTGAGTAAGTAAGTGATGCTGTAGGCCTCCTTTGTGAGACAGAGTGCTGAGATCAATAATATTAGATAGTTCTCAATAATTTCTAACAACTCTTCATTTGATATCAGTTCATGAATAAAGAATTCATCTTTTTCAAGCTATCTTTAGTACAATCTTGTTTTTGTAATTATTTATTTAGGTATAAACATAAAATCAGTTGAAGATAACATTCAGAACAGGAGCATTGTTCCTTTCTAGCATGAGATTCCTCATCAGTGATGATCAGACTACACCAGAGATAGGGCCCGAGATCTTCGGGGTTCCTTGAGAGTACGTAACCAGCTGACTTTCAGGTTATCATCAAATAAACATTCAATTCCGATTTAATGCAATTCGAATCACACCATGTCATCCATCTATAGCCAATAGTGAAGACAGTTTTATGTATGAAATAGCTAAAGTTCAGTGATTATGATTTTTCACCAGAAGTTCAAAAACTCATATTGAAGTATAAAAATATTAAGTTTATGATTACATTCAACTATCGTCAATCTTTGAAGATCGCCGACAAGTTAGACAGGTTTCCACAAAATCTTCACACCAAAAACATTTTTGTTCAGCTGTGTTTTATGGAGATTAATTAATTTCTAAAAATAATCTTCATTATGAAATGATATCAACCGGTGAACTAATACTAGCTGTGAAGTTTAACTTAAAAAAATACAGATTTCTTAACAAACCTATTGCTATAAGATTCCTGAATCGACCTTTAACGGTTTACAATCTCAACTTTATTGTTGACTGAATAGAGTCTGACATGTGAACCATTGACTGAGTGGTTTTAAGGCATTATGTATGCTAAGAGATCCCAATGTTTTGGGTTCAATCTCATGTGAGGGAGGGTAATGACTGGGTAATGTTGACGGGTCTAAAAAAAATGAGAATCACTGCCAATGCTTCCTGGTTTTAGTGATTTTCCATTTGATGCCAGCCAACAAAAAACCATCATTTAAAGAAAGACAAACATTTTTTTCAAAACAGTTAATATCATACAACTTACAAACGGTATTAAGAAATTATGTATTAATTCAGCAGCCAATTCATTTGTTTCTAATTCACCACGATTTAATTCATAGAGATTAGCTTGTTCAATTTTTTGAGCTAATGTCGAAATTTCTTCCTTAGCTAAGTAATCTGCTGCACTATTTACAGCTAAGCCAGCAATATTTATCAGATAACTATCAACTGTATCTTCGTGTACCTTAACAAGCTAAATAGTAAAAAACATTAACTAATGATGTATTGAAAATACCTGAAAAGTGATAACTTGGTGAATTAAAGTGCAGTTACAAAATACACAAGTTCTTTAAAATATGACTGTTACGGAAATGTATTTAAATTTTCTAGGAAAGGTAAATTAGTGTAAACTTCATGATATGTGTTATATCCTAGCGAAGATTAAATTACGAGTAAATTCTGAGAACTATTAATTGGCTAATATTATATATATTCCTATTGGATAACTATTCAGTAACTAGATTATGTATATCTATATTCTTCTTATTATAAGCTTCAATAATCAATAAACTGGACATGACTTCAGAATAGTAAATCGTATGATAATAATCTATAGGTCTAAATGAAGCTAGGATATAACAATATGTCTTAAGATATATAACAACCAGGTATAGTTTTGTTTTACCATTTAATTTAATGGTGGAATTGCCTGTCTCGATCGATAGGGCTCAAATAGTAAACTTTATAGAGTGGATGAACTTACTATTCCATATGCTTCCCTAGCATTACTATAAAGTAAATCAATGTCTAAGTAGAAATGATAAATTGGTAACTGAAGTTATGAACCTTTATCATTGAAGATAGTTTGAACATGTAACTCATGACTGGTTGTTTACCTAGTGAGATTAGTAGATAATCTGACTGATATTAGATGAGTTACATATTTTTCCACCCTTATTATTATTATTATTATCGGTTGTTGGCGTGGTAATATACTTATGTTCTAGTCAGTCCAATCACATGTTCTTGATCCGAGTCGTATTGATGTCCTGTAGAATATACACTAGGAGGGTATCTAGTGTAGATATTCGTCTAAGGTAAATTAACGTTCCATTTGTGTAAAGGAAAAAACCAAGCGTTGTTCCATCTACCTTGTCGTTTTGTTCTAGATAACATAAAATAGTGGCTAAATCAGGATCATTCAGTCTCCGAACGTTATATCTAGCCGTGTGAGGAGATTCAGATTCCTGGTTGCAGTTCCCAAAGTAGCCGTAATCTATGAATGCAGACATTAAGTGGAAAATTTATCCACTCATTCACATGCTCAAAATCTTCATTTGTATTGTTCCGCAGTTCTCACTACTCATTTTTAATCACTATTTTCGAAATATATGTCATTTCCTCTCATTTTCCACTAACTTTTCATTGCATTACTTCGTTAACTTATTATTTACCTTATTTGAATGTACTCATATGAAGTATGGGGACATGGACAATAATTAATTAAAAACGCCAAATAAGATAAAGAGCTGTGTTTCATTTTTTAGCATTTTACCGTTGCTTAAAATTTGAATTTGTAAACAGAATAAATGGTTCAGATGACAGTTTGGGAACATATTTTGAGAGAAATCGTATATACAGTATAAAATACTTATTACCTATTGTGAAGGAGAAGGATTCTGGATGATTCTAGTTAGAGGTTTCGATGCTGCATATATCAGTTATTATGTAACGGAATTGATTGCAAATAGCTTCAGAGGATTTGATACTATGATAAGCTAAATAGCACTTACGAAGCTTTAAAGTATTCACAATAACATTTTACCAGATATTTTTATGTTTTAAACTGTTTAAAGAGCTCATAAATACTTAGTTTTCATCTAAAAAAAATTCAGTATTATCTGTTAAAGAAATAGTTTTGTGTAAATTGCTAAACTGTACAATCTTTAGTCAACCATGTTTCATTACGCTACAAATTTATGAGAACAACGTTCTTCTCTCGAGTTCTGGTTAGACAGAATTCACAGAAGTTAAAATCGTCATGATACTATGTGAACCAATGAGGTAAAACATCTAACTATAAACCGTATTAAACGATTCAATGGTCTGCATAATAGGTTGATTTTACCTATAATAAGTGGATAAATAAACTGGTTACATCATGAATGACAAAAATCAGGGTTACTTAAAATCTAGTTAAAATCGTTTACCTGTTTGAAAATTTCATCTTGTTCTCTCCTTCTGCGTTCTTCTTTTTGACGTGTACCACATTCTTCCGCTTCTCGTATACGACGTTGACGTTCTGCTATTAGTACTAATGCATGTATACGTCGCTCTTCGATTAGACGATCCAATTCTTTACTTAGAAAATCTAACATATTAGCTAAACTATCACATTCAAACTGTCCTAAGATATCTTCTACTAAACGCTCCTTTTAATAAAAGGTAAATAATATATATATTGTTCGTTAGTAGTTTGTCATATATAACACCTCAGTTTTAAATCAATACAAATAAGTTACACTCAGACAGACGGCCGAAAACGTCATTTGTAAGAAATTCACTTGATTACATAAAAAATCTAGTCATTATCCTCATTCGGTTGGTTTTAATTGATATTTTTAAATATGGATTTACATAATTCCCTTAGTGAGGTGAAGTTAGCTAATAGTTACTAAAAATGAGGAAGCATTGGACGGCCATTTCTATTTAGTAAGGAATTTCTTGGTATTGCATATTCACTACCCTGCTATTGACCAAACCCAGGTGACTTTAGAGGTCCAAGCGAGCTGTTGATCACAGAGATGACATTTGATGCTGTGCATTCCTAAATTTAATTAAGTCATGATAGACAGACAGTAAAAATTACGACTAATTTAATCTTTTCGTTAACTTGTTGATCAATAAGGATAACATGGGTTTAGTGGTTGCAAAATGTGAGTAATGATGAGACCTGATATCTTGTATTCAAACAGTGTAAACCATCATTTTATAACAGATAAAACCTTGAAAAGTCGAATTCAGGAGTTCAAACATTCCTTTAAAAGTTGTCTTATTGGTTTTTATGACAAGCTTCATCCTATGATGATGGGGTTAAATAGAAATAACGAAGAGTTTAACCATTTGAAATATCACTGTGAGAGATTGTTAGCGTCTAATGGGTACGTCAAAACCCCTTGGATTGTAAAACTTTGCGGTATTTAAAATCATCTGACATGACTAGAAATTGAAAACAGTGACGACATTGCTATAAGTCTCCACTGTATTCTCAACAAACGAGACGAGATTGATTCTGACCTGTTTTGCTGTCTTCTTTAATATTACTTTTTTTGATTAAGTGGTTTTTTCCGATTCGCTTCCTCATAAAATTTTCATTTCGTTGTACATGACAGTCACATTGTAGAAAACATTTTTTGTATGCGATAACTATATAAAGTGAATATTTCTGATATGATATTTTGTAAATAAATTAAACACCCTTCTTGAAACGTAAGTCAAGCGTGGGATCAGTGAAAACATATTATGCTTTTTGTAGAACAACACATAATAGTCACCTGAAAAGCAGATTTAAAGGAACACTAACCTCAGCATTTTTGTTCCAATGAATGATTAACTGATTTGTGCTTGGTGCTGAAAACCGTAAATCTAGTGATGTGCAGTGAAAACACAAAGACTGCTGGTATGGATTTATTTGACCGAGAAAAAAGATCAAAATGATTTAGAAATACATCACACTTTATGTGACTGATCCAGTCAGATTTGTATAGTTTGCATTCAGTGGTGTTTAACACGAATTATCCGGTAAACTACTTTGTCAACATATATTTATCCTATCATACAATTAAGCATCTATAACTAACAGATTTAATTAATGGACTAAGTCATACGATAATGTGATAACATGTCACCTTTATGTGTCATTCGCACTAGAGTCCACCGAGTTGTTGTTTAGCATACGAGAAAAGTACGGAAATAAGATTTAAGGTCATTTTCAGCACAATTCACTGTAGCACGCGTGTTTTTAGATAATCAACTGTGGAATGAAATGGTATGGTAAAAATGATGGATTAATGCATTCTAATCACATCAATATAACGTTGATGAATTTAAATAAAATGATTTACTTGATGCAAAAGATGACTGAAATCTTCTTGTTTTGTTAAAATTGTTAATTTTTCACGTTTTTTTTGAGCTTGTTCATCTTCTAACAGAGCATGCGTTGACCTTGACTCAACAATTAATTCACTACGTTTTCGTTTACCCTCATACATTTGAGTCTGAATTGCACGCCCGCGAATTAATTGTTGCAACATAATTACAGCTACTTCTTGTCTTTCAGATTCTTCCTGAATTCAACAAATAAACAGTTGAATTAGTCTTAAAATAAAATAATTACAATATATATCGAAAATGATTCTTTCAAAATTACAGGTAATTGAAATTAGAATCACAAGTTAATTGAACTTTAAAAAGTTGGAACACTAGATGTTGAATATTTTGAAAAGTTACATTAAAACCTGACTTCTGTAAACAGATTCAGCGACTCAACTGCATCATATTATCCATAAGATCTAACTCTACATGATTGAATCTCGTGAAAGGGTTAAAATTCTGCGCTATAACAGAGCAAGCGTCAAGCTTTTTCATGATTTCCAGTATTTATACATCTGAGATAGGAACACTGTGCGAATTAGCGTTAAAACATTAACTTTTCGCATATTTTTATATACATACTTTACCTGTGTTTGTTACACTTCAAGCATGAATATAAGTCGCCCAACAACATTCTTCATTGAACTCTGTCCAGGACAATACTTTTCAGTTGTTTCCAGTTGCTATTCATCCTTTTCATGTCTCTTTCCAATTTTCCGTGCAGCTTTTCTTTGGCCTTCCTCTTTTCCGTTTCCCTTCAGGATTCGAAGTTAGCGCTTGCTTCGCGATCCAGTTTGATGACTTCTACAATGTATAACCTATCCACTTTCAGTGTGTTTTCTTGATTTCCTCTTCAACTGGAATCTGTTTTTTTCTTTCTCACAGTAGGTCGTTGCTGATGGTATCCAGCCAACGGACATTGACTAACTTGCGTAGACAAGTGATTATAAGTACTTGTGCTTTTTTGATGCTGGCTGTAGTAGTTCTCCAAGTTTCAGCTTCGTTTAGTCGGACTGTCTTGACGTTCGTATCGAAGATTCTGACTTTGATATTGGCTGACAGTTGTCTTGAGTCCTACATGTTCTTCAATTATAGGGATGCGCCCGTTGCTTTGTCAATCCTTGCCTTTACGTCTTCATCGGATCCTCCTTGTTCACTGATGAAGCTCCTCAGGTATGTGAAGTTTCCACCTCTTCCAGAGCTTCCCCATCAAGTGTGATTGAGTTGGTGTTCTCCATGTTTCATTTAAGGATCATGCTTCTTCTGTTGTGTATGCTGAGACCTACTGATTCACAGGCTGCAGCCATACTAGTTGTCTTCATCTGTATTTGTTCGTGTGTATGAGATAGAAGGGGTAGGTCGTGTGCGAAGTCCAAATCTTCTAATTGATTCCGAGCTGTCCATTGTATTCCGTGCTTCCCCTCAGATGTGGAGGTCTTCATAATTCAGTCGACCACCAGAAGAAAGATCGTTATCTTTGTCGTTTATATCATTGGTGGGTGCACAATACTGGGTAACATGCATTGTGATTCCCTCCTTCTTTGTTTTGAGGGACGCCTTGATGATTCTGGATCCATGAAATTCCCATCCTATGAATGCTTTACGTGCTTCTTTGGACAGCATCAGAGCAACTTCCTGAGTGTGCGGAGCACTTTATTTTTCATGACCTGTGTACAGCAGCACTTCTCCCAAATCTAACCTTTTCTGTCCAGCATTGATCTAATGGCACAATGTGGGAGACCGTGAGGACCAGTCAAATAGCTACGGGAATGAGGAGTTGCAACATGGCGGTACCTACATTAGTTGTTCCCTTGGTTGTTAGAAGGGGCATTGGCTTTGTGACTTCCGAAGAATCTCGGCTTTCACAATGAGACATCATAATTCTTCTGAATAAAGACCCTTCAACTTCCAGGACAGAGTTTAGATTGTTTAATTTGCTTATTTTGATTAGCGTTTTTTATTAAGGTTGTTTTCTACGGGATGGGATTGCTGACTTTATGCCCAAACCTCCTCCGCTACCTGGACTTGGGACTGGCAGTAACCTTAGAATAGCTACAGTCAGAGTTTTTCTTATACTGGTTTTGTAGAAAGTTACTCTATTTAAGATTTTGAAAAATGAAACTATAATTGTTAGTTTTTAGGGAATTTCGTATCCTCAATTACTGTCGATTTGATTTAATGAATAAAACAATAAGCAATTCATTCATATATGTATAAATTTATTAGTAATGATCAATATTCGCTACAATGTACACTTAAATTAGTAACTCAAGAGCCATCACAAACTATAGTAACGCGGAATTTTCACTACACAGAATCATTTTAATCTTGGTCAGAAGAGCAGCGGTTTAAAGACCTAAAACGGCATTTTCTCCATTATCATAATATAAACTTAATATTAAGTCCATTCCGAAGAGAATTCATAGCTTTCCTTACAAGTCTACGTATTTGGAGTTACGTACAGAATTTTCTTATCAATAAGAAGTTCAATATTCGAACACCTTGTGAACACAGGTCATTCAATCAAGACAGACACTACGTTCAAACTCATCTACAAGGTAAGTAGAAGTCTTTCAAATACAATTAGACTGCATCTTCTTTGCATTCCCGAAGCATTAACCATATCCCTGGAAAAGTCAGAATTGTGTGTGCAATAGAGACTGGTACAACCTCTTCTTCTACCATGGTCTTAATGTCTTATAATTTTTTTTTCTCTTTTTCATACTCTTCTTCCTTTACAGTCACGTGCTTCATCTTCCCCTTAAATCTTCTACCGCCAACTAGTTTATTTTTGTTTCCACAATCATTCTGATTACATTTAACCTGAATTTCAACACTTTATCTTGTCATGCTGAGCCATCCTTTCCCAATGATAATTTCCCTATCTATCTTTTGATGAATACTTAAGCCACCAAACAATTATTAAATTTTCCTTATTTAAAACTTTTTAAATACATTTGTTTATTTAACCTCACTGTCAACATTTCTAACAGAAGTTTATTATCAGTATTATTATCATGCTGTAAAAATAAGTATATATATTTGCGATTGTACAGCTTTGAAAATGAATTCGCCGAAAAGAGAACTCTTCGCTGAACTAATCTTTCTTATTTAATGTCTTAATGGGTGTATTCGGTTTACTAAAGAAATAATATTTCAGTCTTAACATTATGACAACTTAGTCAATGTTCTGCAGCCTGATGGACAAATCAATAAAGCTTTTGATCACAAGGTGGTATCGCATACGATTTAAGTTTATTTCCAGTTATCACTTATGCTTAGTATTTGAATATATTACATACAGCAAGTAGTTTGATTATTAAACATTTCTCGACAAGTTACCTACTGAAACGTTTGAAATGTTAAAATAACGTTCCTAATTCCAACTAGAAGAATTCACTATCGAATCTAACATTAAACCATAAAAAACAGTGTCAGGTAGCGAACAATATTACAAAATTCGATATATAGGATAATAGGTTTATAAAATACATTATTTCAGATAAATCACGATGTATAACTTTTATTACTTGAGACAGACAAATCAGTAAAAAGCGAATGAATGAGTGTATAGTTAAATTAGTAAGAAAAACTATCAAAAATGTCAAAAATTGCAGAGCTCATCAGATGAAACCTTATCAATAATAAAAGTTTGGAAAAATGCCTTTATTTAAAAGTAGAATTCGAAGACCGATCAAAGAACATTGTATATACCTAAAGAGTGGGAATTTAATTGACCCGACAAAAGAAATGATTAGGCAGCAACAAAACAATTCTATAAGTTTCAAGAAAACTGTCATGAACCAATACAATAACCGAAGATTGAACAAACTACATGCTGATCAACGAAACAACGAAGATGGCATGCCCTGGGCTATTTGTAAGGTTAGTGAGCTCTAGCTGAAGCATCCATCAAGCAGAACAGTTTCTACATTAGATTAGAGATCACTAAACGTCCAACGGTTTACTGAATATCGTTGAGGCCAAGGACTACTTGCGCGAATTAATCAGTAATTCTCCAAAGACTAGCCAATTCAGCAGTGACTCCACTTTACACTTCTCTAATCTGCCGCTGTTAAAGTATGATCTTACTCTAGATATTCACCAAGAAAGGAACTCACCTGGTTATCCCGATTGGATAAGCAAGATTAGGTACAGACCACGGGGCGTGAGTTTGACGTAAGCTAGGAGGCTACACTACTTTCATACAACTCAAGTAGACCACGAACATCGACACAAGTCACTTACATATATTCACCTTGTTAGTGTACATGAAGCATACTCCTACTTACTTTCCTGTTAATTTGGACAAACAAAAACCTTGACAATGAAGCTAGGATATTCGCTCATGAGTATTTTAGCCCAAGGAGCGGTGAATCTACAATCGGAATCAACCCGTTCTTTGATAATGAAACATGCATTATATGTTTTTAGAATGAGGGATATTACAATCACAATTTGAGTTGAAATTAATATCTTCGGCATTTCCGGAAGATAAGTAATACACAGTTAACTTTGTTAGAAAAAAAGTATGATCGCTTAGCAACACTCAGGTTGATACAATTCGTTTCAGTATAATAAAATGAAATTGACAAGATATTTAACAGAGGTTGAAGGAATACAAATGTCTATGATTGTAAGACTGATCAAACATAAAGAATATGGTTTGAAAACAGGAAATTAATTCGCACAATAAAGGGACTGAAGATTCGGCAGAAAATGTGATAAATTTTGGGGTATGTCATATTGGCTTCCCTTACCATTTATTACGCGTGTGTCTCAACAAAAGGGTCTTAGTATCTTTACATAGCCTACGTCAAGAGTGAAAAATTTCGTATTACTGATACTCGCCTTACTTTTATTCCAATCGATCACTACCTCAGTTAGCAATACTGAAAAAAAAACACAAAAAAGTGCTTTAAACTAAACTTACACTTTTTATTGTTATATAATCTGACGTTATTGGACGTGGCATAGGTTTTTCAATCTTTTGTAAAAATCGTGGTTTTCTTAGAGCGGTATTTCGTTCACTTACTGAGGGTTTTTGCAAATACTGTGCATGTAATTGTTTGGAAACGAAAAAATTAGTCAGTTGACCAATATTACTTTTTAATGTGCATAAATAATAAACGTTTCAATTAGTTAAAGTGATTCGATACAAAGGGTGTACGTTAATAGATAAACAGAACTCAGCAACACAGCACGTATTCCAGTTCCCATACCTCATTAGAACAATGAGATGAAAATAACGGAGTTGAAGAACAAAATAATGATTCATTGCATTTACTACAGAACTTGCTGACAATGCAATACGACTCATTGAAGCAAAAGTAGTGATTACTGAAAATTTCATATAACCAACAGAAACATACAAGACGGAGTGTAATAGGTTACGAGAATTCAAAGATCTCCCACTAAATATGACTGAATATTAAAAACAGGATTTCTGTATTGATTCCAACATAAATGAATAGTTAAATCCTAGCAAACATGAAATACACTAATTTATAGGGATAAATGTAAAGAAAAACTCCGCCAGTGACTCTTCTAAGGTTACTGCCGGTTCCAAGCCCAGGTAGAGGATGAGGCAGCCTCAAAATGCCCTGGTACGGTCGAAAATGGAGAGAGTCAGCTCTCCCTCACGAAATGCTCTCACATGACCACGTGTATACAGCCACTGCGAGGGAAGTTCTACTCGCTGCCTTCCCGCGGAGAGGGTGTTGTCTACGAAATTGAGAGGGTGAAAAGCGAATGCCCAGCGCTTTAACTGGGTTAGTGGATACGGAAGATCCACCTAGCAGAGTTGGAAAACTCTGATTCCAAACAAATGGTGCATACGGGCTCCAGGATCCTGAAGGAAATTAGAAGATTTGGACTTCGCACACGACCTACCCCTTCTATCTCATACACACGAACAAATACAGATGAAGACAACTAGTATGGCTGCAGCCTGTGAATCAGTAGGTCTCAGCATACACAACAGAAGAAGCATGATCCTTAAATGAAACATGGAGAACACCAACTCAATCACACTTGATGGGGAAGCTCTGGAAGAGGTGGAAACTTCACATACCTGAGGAGCTTCATCAGTGAACAAGGAGGATCCGATGAAGACGTAAAGGCAAGGATTGACAAAGCAACGGGCGCATCCCTATAATTGAAGAACATGTAGGACTCAAGACAACTGTCAGCCAATATCAAAGTCAGAATCTTCGATACGAACGTCAAGACAGTCCGACTAAACGAAGCTGAAACTTGGAGAACTACTACAGCCAGCATCAAAAAAGCACAAGTACTTATAATCACTTGTCTACGCAAGTTAGTCAATGTCCGTTGGCTGGATACCATCAGCAACGACCTACTGTGAGAAAGAAAAAAACAGATTCCAGTTGAAGAGGAAATCAAGAAAACACACTGAAAGTGGATAGGTTATACATTGTAGAAGTCACCAAACTGGATCGCGAAGCAAGCGCTAACTTGGAATCCTGAAGGGAAACGGAAAAGAGGAAGGCCAAAGAAAAGCTGCACGGAAAATTGGAAAGAGACATGAAAAGGATGAATAGCAACTGGAAACAACTGAAAAGTATTGTCCTGGACAGAGTTCAATGAAGAATGTTGTTGGGCGACCTATGCTTATTCAAAAGCGTTTACAGGAATAAGTAGTCGATGAATGCCAATTATTGCTTATACGTTATGGCACTTTAGTAATTAGCTTCACTGTTGGTGGGTCAAAATAACTCATGAGGTTGAGTACATTTTCATTTGAAAAGATGCATCTCAATTACTTAGGTATTGAACCCCTCGACTAATAATAATACATAAATATCATTTGTCTGTTAATATCCAACTTAACACCATATAATCTTAAATTGTAGTGAACGAGAACACAGGTGGGACAAACGGATGTATTTAGCTCAACAAAATCTGAATACCATATAGTCAATCGTCAATTTGCAAAATATTCATGCATCAAACCAAACTGGACTGTTTCTGTTGCAAACACCAATCCATTGTCTCCCATTCCATTGTTCATTCATTTTCTTACAAATTTTAATGTGTTCTCGCTCTACCTTTGTTGATCTTCGCCATCTTCTGCTGCCAGACCTTACGTTCTTTTGACGCACGTTATATACTACTTACATGAATATAAGTAGCTCACACCACAAAATTAGTATATATATATATATTTTCAGGTATGTTATCCTATGCCTCCCAACATGGAAAACTCCCATGTGTATTTCTGAGAGAAAAAATAATAATTCTCAGTATATTTCCTCTGATGACCAAAGGTGTGGATCAAGATGTACGCTGCATCCGAACCGAAATTTCTTAAATAGCCAACATTAAATCCCAGTCAGTGAAAATGCTCTCACTATGAAATAAATTCTGGTTGCTGTTGTTTATAAAGTGAAAAAACTGATACGAAATAAATATTTTGTGAAAGTCTATGAAATTAATAATGAGTAGTTTGAGCAGTGTCTGGTATCAAGGTGAAATGCATTAGATTTCACGAGTACACTCTTCACTTACATCATAATTATTCAATGGAAATTTTATATCATTTCTATTTTCACGTTAGATGAATCAATTGAGTTAGTACTATTTAGACTAAGTAAGGAGTTGTACGCCAAACTAATTTTTAAATGTGATTATTATTCGTCAAAAATTTATTATCATATTTAACATAATAATTTTCCTGCATTGCTATCTTCTGATGTATCCGCTTTAACACCAGTGAAAACCGCAGACTAATCGACAAATGTTATTTCCTAGTTTGAGAAATCTCAACGTCAAAGGAGATAGAATCCGAAAGCTTCAGATCCTGAAAAAATTGTTATCTTACTGATACATAGTATCCGGTATCCAATGGTTAACATTTACAATAGCAGTTGATTTAAAAAATTACATAATCACCACTTAAGATTATTAAGGTAGAGCTGCTACGCTTCTGACTTGATTGATTTAACAGGTCGCAGGTTTTCACTCGAACCTCTTAGCAATATCATTTTCTCCACGAAATTCTAAAGCCATCAGTTTAATCGCGCATGATTGTGGGTGTGTGCTGATGACAAGTTGTACACTAAGATAAAGTGGATAACCAGTCCTCCTTAGTTCACAACAATTCACAATGGTTTATGCCAGTCAATGACGAAAACAATCAATTAATTCAGCAATCGTATATCTACACCGTGTTTTCTTTCAAAAAGATAATATGAATTTAAAAGAATGTATATCAGGTAAAAATGAATAACTTTTATGTACCATGAAAGAAATCTTTTCTATAGTTAAACAATTTTTATACAAGTAAAGAGACATACATCGTGTAATTCAGCTAATTCTTTTTGATGGCGATATTCACGTTTTAAAAATCCATCTTTTGTGTGTAGTTTTGGTAGTTGTAATCTAATTCTTGGTTGGAATGCAAATCGAGGCAAACTGGTTTCTAAAGTAAGTAGACCTGAAAAAGGTGACAAAAATACTGAATAGATGAATGGATATGAAGCTTTTTCAAATGGGATTATAGTTTGGCATTTATTTTGTGTTATTTAGACGTTAATAAACAACGTAAAAATCATTACAAGTGTGTATTAATCAAAGCTATCATTCTTCAAATCGACACAACAAAGAATTATTGTTTACATAAACATAGTTCCCTTTATCATCTTGAGGCAAAAGTTCAGTGGACTAGAAACAAGTGGCTACATAATGTATAAACGCTGATAATAATTAAGAATAAAATGAATGAAGCTCAGTTAGTTAAAATAAGATTTATAATCTAGAAGACAGTCGAAATAAATACATATTGACTCATGATTTCAACCTGTGAAATTTCTAAAACTCTCCACAAAACCCATTCTGACATATCGATGTAATTAACTGAAGAAAGAATTGAGCAAGGTTTTACGGTGTAATGAAGGAATGTTTGTTATTAATGCAAGGAAAGATCAACGGATAACTCCATTTGAACACACAAATCTGATCTCTGATGACTGAAAGCGATGGCTTCAGCAAACTTCAGAAGACTGAAGTTTGGCTTTTTATTAATCATCCTATAAGATTTAAAGGTATTGATCTAATGTTCCCTGTTCAAAAGATGTTTCGTGATTACAATATTTAAAATAGTCCTTTCTCTTATTCGAAGGCGTTTTGGAACATGTTCAAAAAATCTAAGATAAGTTCTCTTTTCTGTTCGGCCAATGTGGTTGCTTTGGCAGGTACATGTGAATTGGTGATAACATGGAAGTAGTACTTGTCGACCTTTGATTGTTTTTTAAAATACTTTGTTTCATACTGAGCCTTCCTTTGCCCTGGGGAAAAACATTCCCTCGTTACACAGTTAAACCTTGCTCAATTCTTTCTTCAATTAACTACAGCAATAGGTCTCTTTAATTCGATTGTCTTCTAAATTATCAATCTTACTTTATCTAAATGAGCTTCACTCATTTTATTCTTAATTATTATCAGCTTTTATTCATTACGTTGCCACTTGTTACTGGTCTTCTGGACTTTTGCTGCAATTGATTTTATAGAATGTTCTTATACATAAGATATATATTTACATTTTATTTAGTCTTTTAAATCTATTTACATCTTTGATATACTGTACTGATATGTGATCATATTAACTTTCAACTAAACTCTTTTGTATAGATAATTTAAACCCATTTTGTAATTATGATTTTTAGATTATGCATATCACAAGCATATCACGAGAACTAAACGAAATAAAAGGAAATCATGGTATTCTGCTTAAGTCTTTGTTGTTATTTCCTTCAAGACTAATGTTTGTATAGTCTTATGTATTTTGAGTTGGTTCATACCATAAGAAAGAATTTTTCTTCTGAACAATGTGTCAGTAGGATTGATTAACTGCCACAATATCAGCTCTATAGGAATATTACTATATATTGCTGTAGTATAACCAAGATAAAATTGATAGATAAAAGTCGCAGAGCATGTATATGGATTTACTGGTGTTGAATTCTATTATTTGAGAGGCTTAATACCAAATCTGGACAAATCTACTACAAATAGAAATTCTCTACTTTCATTTATATCAGAAATTGCCACCAATAATGTTCTCCAGAAAGCTTAATTAATAAATTACTCAACTTAAGGGACACAATGACACCAAACTGAGCCATTTAAGAATTAAAGATTAACAGAAAACTTCAAAAAGAAAACCATACATAATCAAAGTTATAGTCTAGCTAAAACGCAATATGTAAAGTCTTGGTTAAGAGACTGATTTGAACTATGATTTATTGAACAAAAAACAAGCTGCAAAACTTCGTTCATTTTGTTTCTGTTGATAATTTAAACAGTTTCTGCTTATGTAACTGTTTAAAACAATGTGAGTAGAGTAAACGTTTGTAAAAATAAACTGAATCCGTTTTGTCGTTGTTATGTCATACGGTCATTCAGACCTGATACTGATACATAAGCTTCTTATAAACAAACCCAACCAACTACTTAAGTCAGAAGACCGACGGTGAGAAGGAAAATGTATTGACTGAAACTGAATTGAGAATATACACGTACATCACCTCTACTTAGATGAAGACACATTCTCAACTGATGTCGTATCCCGCCTTAGAAAATGAAGTCAAATCTTGGCCAATAACGTGCGCTTACATTTTAACCTATATCTTGTTGGTCCAGAGTATCAGTTTTATAAAATTCGCACCAGCTACATACAACATGAATAAGTATCCAATCACAAGTTCGTAGAGCATAAAAGAACTGAGTAAATACAAATATATTTGGCGTACCATAGTGAAACTTAACCACGTTCTCATACATCTTACTTTATAATTTAATTTATGATGGTTCGGATTATCCCGTTTTTCATATTTCTTGACTGAAATTCGATCAGTTCTGGTTGGTGCGTAGATTGCTTCCATATAATCAGTATATAAGTTTATATAGATGGAATATAGCTGGGAGTGAAATCCACAATGTGAATATCGTCTTATTTGGGACTCGTTAGCTGGATGTATCTGCCAGCCACATTCCATCTATTGATTACAACCTTACTTAATGGTTAAAAACGTACAATATCTTCAGTTCCAAACCCCATTTTTTCAAACCAGTCGATGGAAAAATTCAAAAAAATCTTTTTTTATATTTAATAACTCCTTCCCCAAAGATCCATCTTCAGAAAGAATTTTACATTTCTAAATCCATAATGAAGTCTTTCATAATTCTTTTAGTTACATCTAATTTCTTTTACTATCACGTAATCCTACCATTATTTTGAATGCCATGCTACCAGTCTTATTAGTTTCATTTGCCTGTCTTTATATCGTATGCAAATTTGGGTAGATGCATATTTATGCCATGTCTTAGAAGCACGACAGTACAAAGAAACTACAAATGACGCACATACATAACCAATATTACTGACTTAAGAACTCAATCACTGATCTAGTTTCCAAGTATAAAAAATACGCGATAATTATCACAATATTGTGATTAATGAATCAAATAACTTCCTTGCTCTCGAGTTTAAATTATCCTTCTGGTACCTTGAGAGTGCACTACTGAAAAAAATGATTTACGGTTTAAGCTACAGTGTATTTTCTAAATACGTAAATGTACCACTGAATTACCTTCATAACGCGATGAATATATATTTTTTACAACATAACGTTCAGAACTACGATCTGGAAATACACCAAGGCGCGTGAGTGGAGCAAAAACTTGAGATGATGGTTTAGCATAATCCATTATCATATCACGTTTAAATTTATATTCTTTAGCAGCTAACCGAAGTTTCAATAATTTGCGTAACTCTGCAGTAGATACAAAGAAGGAAAGACACAAAGGAGAATGAAAATTTTTATTTATCCATAAACCATAACGGTGATCGTCACAAAACGAATAGTGATATACTATAATTTATTACAAACTGACGTCAGTTAACAACCACTAAGAAAGAAGAAGCATTGAACAGTTGCCTGGTCATGGTTTAGGGCCTTTCATTGGTGAGCAACTATGATCATGCACCAAACTAATATTATCCTAAATCGAAAAATGACTTCAAAAACCATTAGAATTGTTCATTTGGCAATCAACTTTTGAACAGATTTTCCATAGCTGCAACCTAACTAATTTGGAAGTGTGGTAATAGCTGAAATATGATATTGGGTAGTGGTCATGACAGGAAACCGTTGAATTCACGAGTCGATCTAAGCTAGACCATCATTAGAAACCTTGAAGCACTGGACGGCCGTTTCGTCCTACTGTGAGACTCCTCAAGAGTGCGCACCCATAACCCTGTGGGCTGGTCTGAGTCCCGCATGTACTGATGAGGAGTCCCATACTAGAACGAAACGACCGTACAGTGCTTCCAGGTTTCTAATAATGGTCTAGCTTATTAAAGAGAATGTGGAGTATCCTTGCAGTTGCCGCTACGTCTGCTTTTAATGCCTCTGCTGGAATGTTGTCGGGTCCTGCTGCTTTGCCACTCTTGATTTGTCTGATGGCCATGCTGATTTAATAAGATTTGGGATGAGGAACAAGTACCAAAAGACTGGAAAGAAGGACTTTTGATCAAAATACCGAAGAAAGGCGATCTCAGCAAGTGTGATAACTACAGGGGCATCACTCTTCTCTCAATACCGGGAAAAGTCTTCAACAGAGTATTGCTAAACAGGATGAAGGACTGCATAGACGCCCAACTTCGTGACCAACAAGCAGGATTCCGTAAGGATAGATCGTGTACAGACCAAATCGCAACTCTACGGATCATTGTGGAACAATCAATTGAATGGAATTCATCACTCTACATCAACTTCAATGACTACGAGAAAGCATTTGAAAGCGCGGACAGGAAACACTATGACAGCTTCTTCGACACTACGGCGTGCCTCAGAAGATAGTCAATATCATACAGAGTTCATACGATGGATTACACTGTAAAATCTTGCATGGAGGATAGTTGACAAAGTCGTTCGAAGTGAAGACCGGTGTTAGGCAAGGTTGCTTACTCTCACTCTTTCTCTTTCTCCTTGTGATCGACTGGACCATGAAGACGTCAACATCTGAAGGGAAGCACGGGATACAATGGACATCTAGGATGCAGTTTGACGATCTGGACTTCGCAGATGATCTGGCCCTTCTATCCCAAACGCAACAACAAATGCAAGAGAAGACGAACAGTGTAGCAGCAGCCTTAGCAGCAGTAGGTCTCAACATACACAAAGGGAAAAGCAGGATTCTCCGATACAACACAGCATGCACCAATCCAATCACAATTGACGAAGATTTGGAAGATTTAAAACCTTTACAAATTTGGGCAGCATCATTGATGAACAGGGTGGATCTGATGCAGATGTAAAGGCGCGGATCGGCAAAGTAAGATCAGCATATTTACAACTGAAGAACATCTGGAACTTAAAACAACTGTCAACCAACACCAAGTTCAGGTTTTCCAATACAAATGTCAAGACGGTTCTACTGTATGGAGCGGAAACCTGCAGAACTACGAAAGCAATCTATCCAGAAAATACAGGTGTTTATTAACAGTTGTCTACGCAAAATACTTCAGATCCGTTGGCCGGACACTATTAGCAACAACATACTGTGGAAGAGAACAAACCAGATCCCAGAGGAGGAAGAAATCACGAAGAAGCGCTGGAAGTGGATAGGACACACATTGAGGAAAGCACCCAACTGCGTCACAAGACAAGCCCTCACATGGAATCCTCAAGGCCAAAGGAGGAGAGGAAGACCAAAGAACACATTACGCCGGAAAATGGAAATAGACATGAGAAAAATGAACAAGAATTGGATGGAACTAGAAGAGAAGCCCCAAGACAGAGTGGGTTGGAGAATGCTGGTCGGCGGCCTATGTTCCATTGGCAGTAACAGGCGTAAGTAAGTAATAGTGGAAGCTGATACTGGTGTTCTGGATTCAACAGTCAGAGCTAGTCAGGGAAAAGGATCAATAAAGACCCTAGGCTGCTCGTACCTGCCAATACGTCATCGGTTTAGCACGGCACTAAGATTGTATAAGTCGCATTTCGATTGACAAATAAATCACGTGATAATTAGCTGGGCTTAAAAACACAACATTGACTGCTTATTGGTTTTCAATGGATTTCTTTTGTTGCTTCATGATATCAATAATATCCAACAATCTTTATAATCACCTTATACTGATAATGTCATGTTTGTCTAGTCCTTTAGCGTTGATCGTACTCGATAGGTCAAGTTTCAGTCTAGTCACTAGTTGATACCGTGCACACTATATTATGATATCAGATGGTTGGAGGCAATCGGCAAGAAACCCTGGACCGATATTTTATGGTATGTCCTCCAGTGTTGAACCACTTAGACTAATGGCCATATTACCACTTAATCGGTGGAATTACAAAAATGGCATTGGTAACTACTCAGTGGTCGGTCGATTTATATATTTATAAAATCTCAATGAGTAGAAAATTGAATTTGCAACGTCACACAACCTAGTTTATTTTTCTTATTCAGAGAAATAACAAAAGAACTAAATTTACCTAAGTTTAAATAGTACAAATGGAATAAAGTAGGGTATTTTGAGTATAATCAAAATCAGAATAAGTCTGATAATGTTAATATTATATCGTTTTAGTTAAGGTATTTCTGTGTGAGACCGGCCGATATTCAAGCGACTGTGGGTTTTTTCTTTAACTCTAATAATACATTTCCAGGATATGACCATAAGTAATGGAAAATAGTAATTTTTTTAATTGTTAACGAAATGAGTGCTCAATATGTTCAGGTGCACACATTTCTCCACTCATACATATAAAGATTACAAAATTCTGAGGTTGAAACCACATTGGAACTTAAATCCAAACTAGTGAAAACATGATTACTTGAGTTCATTGCCAGTGAAAAGATAATCATCCCATAAATTGATTTTTATATCCATCCTAAAACAATCTTAACCGATTGTGTCACTTTTAAAAGGATTAATATTATTGGGCGACATATTTGAGTGAAAAACAGGGAAGTCATGATGATTTGTTCAATAATGAGTGAGGATATGTGAGTAACAAATTTTAACCAGTCATTTTAGTGCTATTCTAAACCACCTGTCTAAAAAAAACTCATATTGAATGCATGTGACTGCCAGTTTTGTAAATTACCACACAGAGAAAAAGTTCTTTGTATTTCTTAGTTTTTTAATTTGAACTTGTGAGCTGGAGTTATGTGGATTAGTATTATTTATTGTGGTTGCCGTTACGTCTATTTTTGCTGCCGAAGCTTACAGTAAATACTGTTATTTAACAGACAGAACAATGAAGAAGTATGTCAGCTCAAGTTTTTTAAAATGCTCGATCCTATACTGACAATAGAAGATCCACTAACTGTGTTCATCACATGACCAAATGGGAGCCTCGGATCCCCACTTTATTAAACCTCTAGTGAGAATGCCAGTAATACATCTGAGTAGTCACAAGTACTTTTTACTATTTAGACTTTTAACTCATGTGTTTATTAGTAGGAAAATATAAGAACACAACAAACCACCACTAGTGAGTTTCAATAATTACACAACGAGGGAACTTTTGATGAGAAGCTGAAATTTATAGTTAATTGACTGTGATTAATAAATGGTAAACAATAAGCTAACAACTCACGAGATGAAATATGCCTTACGACTAAGTCAATGTAAAAAATACAATAAAACAATCATAAAACTGTCTAATAAATAATCGATGGATGTTTAAGTTGGAAACAGTGTGTGTCTCCGCTAAAAAGTGCTGCTTTCCAGCGAGGTGTATATGAAAAACAACAAACTCAAAACAGTTGAAAACATTTACCTATATACAACATAATGAATCCTAGTACGTAATAGTTTTAAAAAAATTTAACGTTTATGTGAGAAAATTCAGAGTTTCAGCAACAGACAAGTACTGTGAAATATGAATGATTTTTTTTATTTAAGTACTTGGTAAATATTTAGCCCTAGAATAAATACATCCACACAAATTGTGGACCTTAGATATTGCCATTCAGTAACTAGTATCTAGATTATAAGTCCCAAATAGGACGAAATGCACATTCTGCATTCCATTGATAGCCACTAACTATATCTGCCTTAAAAACGTTAAAAGTAAAGTTAACAAGCTGACAGTAGAAGAAATTGAGAAACTAGTCACTTTGAAAAGACTCCATCGCGAAAAATTTATAGCCCAATGAGGACAATTTAACTGTAATGATTCGTGAACATACATCAGATACAGTAGAAGATTACATCGAGCATCAATTAGAACTACTTAAGCTAGAGGTGAACAAGGATCATGATAAACCAAATGCGTATCAAACTTTATTCGAATTTCAGAAATTTTTTGAGTAAATGGCAAGTGATAATAAAACTAATCTTGTCAACTTTATTCATTTCTGCACAAGGAAAGCTAAGAAAGCCATAGAGCAGTGTATAATCATGGATGGATCTAAAGGTTGTATGTTAGCTAAGGATAAACTGGAAGAAATATTTAAAAGCAATTATGTGGTTGTTACATAGGTTCAGGACTTGTATATATCTAAAAGAATATTATACAGCCCGATCACCAAACCGAGATGTAGTAATTCGCATTTACTTTTAGTGGTATGAGAGGACAAGGTTTTATTATCATCGGTGTGTAACTACCGCACTCCTGATATGATTAGCTATAAAATGTCACAGGTATCTGCCAGAATTTCTAAAGGTATTGTTTTCTCCACTAGGTCCGAAGGTAAGGTCATGGTTTCGAATCCGTTTGGATTCCTGTATGAATACTAATGATAAGTCTCGGAATCGGAGAATGTCCACTGCTCACTGATTGTCGATGGTTTTCCAGTTGGTATTAGATCTAGACGTTAATAACTTTATCATATCACCTTATTTATTCAAAATATATAGAAAAATACACAAAACCGCCTAATTTAACAAGATACGAATTCTTCGTTACTAGTAGCACTTTAGTCTCAAATAAATTATTACCTCCAATATAACGATGTCTTATAGCTCTGCATTTTGTCTCATTCTGTGCACAACTTTCGCTCCATTTCTGATCTAATCGCCTAGATATGACTCCTTGTTTACGTTGTTCACGTCTACGTAAAAGTTGAACGATTACATTCAGTCGAACTTCTTGCATTCTGTACAGGAAAAAAATCAACAAAAGTATGAAAACTCGACTAATCGATAAATAAATATGTTATCATTGAAGAAAAATTAAGGACAGTTCAGTTAAGAAAATGCTTTCAAAAATGTCATTTTCCTTAACTGTGTTGATGGTTAGGTAATCCTACCCCATTCTCACAATTCCGAAGAAAATTTTATATATGAAAATTGAATTCAGTGGGGATATGGCAGGGATAATGAAGAACGGACTGTCCGGTCCTCTGATAAAAGCCTTTTATTCAACAGAGCCTCGGATCGTTTTCTCAAAAAGCAAATAATTCGGGAAAGTGTCAAGTATAAGTTTCTGGTTTGCACTACCTCAATGTCATCAGTTTACTTGATCTTGTGAAGTAGTGTATTGGCCGTTCGAAAGAGTACAATTCCCAAAGTAATATCCAAGCACAACAGTAATCATGTATTTAAAGAGGAATTCAAATCAAAAACCAACTTATGCCTTAAACAGATAATCAACTGTGATTACCTGCTACCAAAGAAATTCCCGCTGAAGATGATCTTCAAAGAAAATTTATGCGACGCTGAAGCCAAAGTAATTCCACCGGTAGCATTTTTAAGGTTACTGCCGGTCCCAAGCCCAGGTAGAGGAGGAGGCAGCCTCAAAATGCCCTGGTACGGTCGAAAATGGAGAGAGTCAGCTCTCCCTCACGAAATGCTCTCACATGACCACGTGTATACAGCCACTGCCAAGGAAGTCCTACTCGCTGCCTTCCCGCGAAGAGGGTGTTGTCTACGAAATTGAGAGGGTGAAAAGCGAATGCCCAGCGCTTTAACTGGGTTAGTGGATACGGAAGATCCACCTAGCAGAGTTGGAAAACTCTGATTCCAAACAAATGGTGCATACGGGCTCCAGGATCCTGAAGGAAAAAATGGCGGATGAACAAATTATTGGTCACTGGCTACCATGCGACTGCATCTCCTGACATTACTCCACTGCCTTGTGGATTAGACCTTTAGGTCAAAGGCTCCGGGCGTGGCCCGCTAGGAAAACCACCTGTTTCGATTTTAGCACCCGGACAGCCCCCAAATGCCCTGGTATAGCCGAGAGCGGGGTAGGTTCGCCCTCCCTCTTGAAATACTCTCATACGGCCACGCGAATACAGCCTTTGCCAGGGAAGTCCTACTCACTGCCTTCTCGTGGCGGGGGTGTTGTTTACGAAAATGAGAGGATGAAAAGCGGATGTCCGGCGCTTTAACTGGGTTAGTGGATACGGAAGATCCACCTAGCAGAGTTGGAAAACTTTAACCGGATTCCAAATCAATGGTGCACATGGGCTCCAGTATCTTGCGGGAACAAATGGCGTATGAACCAATTGTTGGTCACCGGCTACCATGCGACTGCATCGCCTCACGATGCTCCACTGCCTTGTGAGTTAGACCATTAGGCAAAGGCTCGGGGTGTGGCCCCCTAAGAAAACAACCTACTTCGGTTTGGGCACCCAGGTAGTATCACAGCCCACACACAACTAATGAACTGAACTGTTTATGATCATGGAAACTAATTCTCTTGCTTAGACAAACATTCAAATGATTCAAATATTATTGCTGCTATTATTATTATTATTATTATTTACTACATCATTGTTCACCCTCTTTTATTCCTACTCTGTGTATACTTTTTTTCGACTTATACAGCAGCTCGTCTTTGGTGGAAATTCGACTCTATCTACACGTTTACCAGTCACTGTCCGGTTGAAAATTGTATGTTACCCCCGAATATGAGTACTGAGGCAGTTTTTCTGAAACCACGTGCACCATTCAAACTAGCTGCCTTCAACGTTCCCACACTTATGCAGGTCGGACAACAGATAGGGCTGGCTATGTCTTTGGAAAGTCTTAATATCGATATTTGCTGTCTATCGGAGACCCGTATTCAAGACTCTGGTGAAGTACTACAAATTCGCTCTCCATCTGTCGCTTCGAAAAGCTTGTTCTATGTGCGCTTATCCGGGGACCCTGTGGCATCTTCATCTGGTCTTGCTGGCGTTGGTGTCGCACTAAGCGCTAGAGCTGAGGCAGCACTAGTCGATTGTATCCCCATTAACAGTCGGTTATGTGCTGTTAGATTAGAGAGTTCCATCAAAGTGAGAAGAAATCGGCGTGAGAAACGATGTCTTTTCGTCATCTCCGCCTATGCTCCGACGGATTGCAGCCCGGATGCAATCAAGGATGAGTTTTACCACCAGTTATCTGTTCTTCTCCAGAAAGTGCGCTCGACAGATATTGTAGTACTAACCGGAGACTTGAATGCTCAGGTCGGGTGTCTAGGCACAGAAGAGAGTCGTTTAAGTGGCCGATGGGGACTTGTTGGTCGCAGGTCAGATAACGGGGACCGTCTACTGCAACTATGCACAAACCACAACCTGTTTCTGGCTAGCACTAACTTTCGGCACAGTCATCGCCGATGTGCCACCTGGCGTCCTCCATCTGCATCTCAAGCCTGGACTCAGACTGATCACATCGCGATCAGCTACCACTGGTGTGGTTGTTTACAAGACTACCGTTCCTTTTGGAGTACTTATCTGGACTCTGACCATGCTTTGGTCTGCGCCAATCTTGCCTTACTTTTCAGTGGCCAACGAAGTGACCGCCATCAACGGACTGATGTTAGCAAGTTGGTTGCAACTTCTGTTGCAAGTAAGTATCGAACCGAGGTAGCTTCTAGGCTAGCTACCATTCCACCGAAAAGTATAGATGAGCATTGGTTGCAATTGCACGACGCCATAAAAATGGCGGGTACAGTCAGTTGTGGGTTTGCGAAACGTCCCGCTTATAAGCACTGGGTTTCTTCAGGCTCCTTACAACTCATTGAAGCCCGTCGGTCTACTCTGGGTGACCGTGAGTTTGACCACAAACGAAGGTTGTTATGTAGCGAAATTGGGCAAAGCTTGCGTAAGGACCGAGAAGCCTGGTGGTCGGAGCGTGCTAATGAGCTGGAAGCAGCAGCTGCATCTGGTAACTACCGGAAGCTCTTCCAGCTCATCCGAGCCACTGGCAGAAAGAAGTCTGGTGTGAGTGAAACAATCTGTGAGGATAACGGGATGCCAATCATTAATATGCATCGACGTCTTGGACGATAGGCAGAATTCTTCAAAGGGCAGTTCAACTGGGCTGCTGCTCCGGCAACATCGATCGGACTGTCCTGCCCTCCATGGACGGTGACGACTGATCCACTAAATTAGGCGAAAGTCCTCAAGGAACTCTAGCTCCCAAAACGCTACAAATCACCTGGCCCAGATGACTTACCTCCGGCTCTTTTTAAAGATGGTGGTGACTTTCTGGCTAAAGAACTGACGACGTTGTTTACAAAGGTGTAGGAGCTAGAGAGTGTATCAACGTCATGGAATGAGTCGATAGTTGTCCCTATCTTTAGAAAGGGTTCACGTTGTTCCTGTTACAACTATCGGGGGATAAGTCTACTTCCGATTGCGTCCAAGCTATTGGCTTCCGTCATACTTCGTAGGTTGTTCAAAACCCGAGAAAGATTGACTCGCGAGGAGCATGCTGGGTTTCGTTCTGGTCGAGGATGTATTGATCATATCTTCACCCTACGCCAAATGTTAGAACACCGCCATACTTTTCAGAGGCCGAAAATCGTAGTGTTTCTTGACATCAGGGCTGCCTTCGATTCGTTGGATAGGACTGTTCTCTGGGATTGTCTATTGAAGAAGGGTGTGTCTGAGAAGTTTATTAACATCCTAAAAGTCCTATATACAAACACCTCAGGTAGAGTGAGGGTATACAACCACCTTTCTCCATTGTTCCATTCGAGCAGTGGGGTTAGACAGGGTTGCTCAATCTCACCATTCCTCTTCAACTTTGCCATCGATGACATTCTGGAAACAGCTCTGATGGATGTAAGTAATGGCGGTGTGGATCTGTTGCCTGGAGAAAGACTACTCGACCTTGAGTATGCGGACGATATTGTCTTACTGTGCGAAAATGCCCAAGACATGCAATTCGCGCTTAATCAGTTGGCAATCAGTGTCCGTAGGTATGGTATGTGCTTTGCACCTTCGAAGTGCAAAGTACTTCTACAAGACTGGCAGGATTCTACTGTACTCATCCTGGATGGTGATCAGATAGACGTAGTCGAGAAGTTCGTGTATCTAGGTAGCTGCATAAGTGCTGGTGGGGGTGTGTGATGAGATCAATGCACGTATAGTGAAAGCCAGAGCGGCCTCTGCCAATCTGGGCCATCTTTGGCGCCTTCGTGATGTTAGTCTGGCTATAAAAGGTCAGATTTACAACGCGTCGGTGAGAGCAGTTTTGCTCTATGCTTGTGAAACCTGGCCTCTCCGAGTTGATGACGTTAGACGACTCTCTGTGTTTGATCATCTTTGTGTCTGAAGGATTGCTGACATCAGGTGGCAACACCATGTCAGTAATGCAGAGGTTCAGCATCGTATATTCGGGCACAGAGACGATAATGCAATCGGTGTCACCATCTTGAAACACCGACTTCGGTGGCTCGGACATGTTCTACGAATGTCGTCCCAGAGAATTCCACGTCGTGCATTGTTTGCCGACTCTGGGACTGGTCTGAGAAAGCGGAGAGGTGGTCATTGTATGACATGGTATCGTGGTATAAAAGAAAGCTGCAAAGGGCTGGCTTGTGTCGGTCCTTCTCGACTCCCTGGTTGGGGTCCGAGAGATGGTGCTACACAGTGGCTAGAGACGTTATCAGATATGGCTCAGAATAGAAGCCAATGGCGATCCTGCTGTAACCTTCTTTTACTTTCTTCATAAAAGTAGTTGTTTCCTCCTTAACTGAAAGATTTCTTCTGCTTATATCTTTCCGTTCCCTCATTATGACTATGATTATTACTACATTCCCTTACACCAATCTCTTCATTATTGTTTTTTTACGTCCCTCATTGTTTTTTTTTCTTCTTAAATTTTCATTGTTTTGTGTGGCGCATATATATTTAGCGCACTCCTGTACCAATATATATGTGTT